TTTTTTTTTTTTTTAACTTGCCTACTTTGTTAAGCAATCATGTCAGTTACTTTATAAGTTTTATGTCTGCATCTGTTTTATCAACACTCACCACCGGACCTGCTATGTGAAATGAAAAGTTCTCGGTCCTATCAAAATGGATTAAAAAATTCTTCTTGATCATTAGGTCAGATTTAGTGGAGTAGATGGAAACGAAAACTTTTCTGCATTTCTTCGTGTGTAGGCGAAATGATTTCGTCGTAAGGCGACCAGGCATTTGGCTACTGGGCATGCTTAGAAAAAAAAAGCAACAAAACTCCCATCCTCTTGTTTATTAATTTGACACTCCTAATTCCCCCTTGGGCCGTTCACTAAACCGTAACCACCTTCTTCTATTGACTCGCCTCTTATTCATACGGAAAAAAAAAGAAAAAATCGATTCAGTGGTGTCAAGTGAGACCGATCCTAGCCTCCTTTGTTGGGAGATTTAGTGATTGGAAGCGAAACCGGAAATAAAAATCTAACTCATAATTAAAGAAAAATTGGTCAATGGAAGATGGATTTTTTTTTTTCATTATTTTCTTTTGATAGAACGTTCGATAGATTTCTTATTTTTTATTTGACTGTTACTTACAGGCGAGAAGAAATTTTAAAAATATATTCCTTTACTTTCGTTTTAATTATCTTAAGGATTACAATTTAAAAGTTTTTGACGATTACAAACTTACGAAAAAAATAAGTGAAATTATTTTGGAAATAAAGGGTAAAATAATGTAAATAAATAAAATATTTAAAAAGTATTTAAACTAAGTGTGCCAAATGAATGTGTCAAATTAGTGCGTGAACTAAGAGGTTAAAATAGTATTATTAGCAGTAGACATCCTTTTATCTTGTAAGATGAAGTTAGCGCCTTGTTTGGTCACCATTCAGTCCTATGGTGTAACTGAAGTGACATGGACTTCTCGGGTGTACTGAGAAAATCCAAAGGAATAAAGGACATTACATTTGGGGACATTCTGAATGCAAGGGAAGATGACGCGTTTTGTCGAAGCTTCAAAAAATTAACGGATTTTAAGTTTAACTGAAAAACTTAAATATTGCTTAAAAGCAATATAACTTAATATAATATAATTTGCAAATATTAATTATTAATCCTGCTGCCAAGCCGTCCTCAAGTTTAATGTTCTGTGGTTAAAATGGCTGTGTAAAAGAAATAAGCAAAATGAGTTTATAAAACATGTGTATATATATTAAATAGGTGGGTATCATTGAATATGTTCCTTTAGCGGCACATCAACTCCTTATGGGTCATTTAATGCCAAAATTTAATTTTCTTGGGAGCATTAGTAATTTTTTTGCAAAAATGTATTACTGATATTTTTACAAGAATTTTTTAATACTTTCAGAGTGTTTTGACCCCAGTTTGGGGGTTAACTATTTTCCCATGGCTGGAACTCTAACAGGTGCTACTACCCCGGGTCAGGGTGGACCGGTGAACAACAGCAACTAAGAGGTGGTTCCACGCTCCTCAAAACCTCAAAATCAGAGGCCTTGCTGCCGAATGCAGTGTAGCGTCAGACCAGCACGGGTCTACAAATAGGTGTAAGAAACCTAAAATACGTGAGTAAATTAAATGTGTAAAATCAATGTGTGGTTGAAGTGCGTAAAATGTTTATGTAATATAGTTAGGCAAAATAATTTTTCAAAATAAGTGTGTTATATAGATATAGATGTACAGATGCACATATGAGATACCACCCAAAAGGAAATTCCGCAATCTGTTCAACTGTGAATGATACCTGAATTTCTCTCTCACTCTCTCAGTATCTTTCTGTCTCACTCTGTCTGTCTGTCTGTCTGCCTGTCTCTCTTTCTCTCTCTGTATATATATATATATATATATATATATATATATATATATATATATATATATGATTAATACAAATATAAATTTAGCTGATTAATGTTATTTTCGATAGAGATTTGGAGACGGACCCTCCAGCCATCGCTTCGGCCACTCGTCAGCAGATACTAACAATTAACTGTTTATATGCATCTATATATATATATATATATATATATATATATATATATATATATATATATATATATATATATATATATATATAACAGGTTGTGTGTGTGTGTGTGTGTGTGTCTGTACGTTTATATATTGGATCGGATTTCCTACATTTTTCAACCGATTTCAACAAACCTTCAAAGGACTACGTAAAATTACCTTGCGGTGGTTCTGATAGCGCCCAAAATTGGAAAAACACAATTGTTTTTGCACGAAATCAATTTGAAAACACGATTAAGAGGCATCGCTTTCGCGGAATGAAAGGGGGACAACTCATATCGAGTTATATTTATTATAAAACCCAGGTTATTTGTGCGTGTGTGTGTGTGCTCGTTTATATATGGGATCGGATTTCCTACATTTTTCAACCGAATTCAACAAAACTTCACTTTTTTTTTGGCAGGTAGTGTTTCTTATTGTCTTGCACACTTTTTTCTTTATTTTTACATTCAGAATGCTTTAAAAATTCCATTTACAAGACAATTGTTTATAATAAAATTCTATTCAATCGGTAGACTCATAAAGATTGAAAACAATGTTTTTGTTTGAGTTTGACCAATTCGTAAAAAAACAAAAAAAACTAATTAAGACATGCGTGTCCGTCAACCTTAAACAATAATCTTTTATTTTTCAGTCTTTATGATGGTCGATACTTGATCTATCTCTTACTGTTCATCCCCGGGCAACGCCGGGCTCTACTGTATATATATATATATATATATATATATATATATATATATATATTATATATATATATATTATATATATATATATATATATATATATATATATATATATATATATATATATATATATATATAATGGCTGGTTAGTTGTTTCCGAGAACACCTGTTTGCGGCTAGCCAATCCCAAAAGCGAAAGGTACATTTGTATTTATTGAACACTCACAAAACTCACCCGTGCTTTATACTAGGCTGAACGAAACTTAGTTACACTTTTGGGGAGAGAACGGATCATTTGGGATGGCCAGTAGTTTGCACTAGGCCAGTACGCTCAGAAACATCGGTCACAATGACATCTGACTTCGTGTTAGAACAACCACTGATGGTCCCCGAACTGTTCCGTCTAGCAAATTTTATGCCTTTCCAAAGGTGTCGGATGCTGGGATTACTTCCCTAGACCGATAATATCAAGTCGTTCCATGGTCAGATTCGAACTCTGGTCTCATGGTTGGAAAGTTGTTTTAAACTTTTTAGAAGACAGTCGGTATATTTTTCGTTTAATGAAAAAATTCCAACGTGCTCAGTCAAGTTTTGTTTTCATTGATGAGGTGTTGTTGTTTGACAAAATTTTCCACGTGGTCACTCAAATCGTGTTTACTGTTGTTGAAATATATTAGAGCGACTCGTTTCATTTAGAAACGTTGTGTGCATTTTATCCTTTTTTAATGGTTAAATATTGAGGCAGTGTCGTTTGCTTAGTGATCGAGACAAAATAGTTAAGTAGCAATAGTTTTAGTCGTAGTAATATCTGTATTTTTTTCCGCACATCTTGAATATTACGAGAAATTTTGCTGATTTGGTGTTCCATTTCGCATGGTAGTTTAGTATGTCGTATGGACACGCTTCTTTTGATCATTGGATTTACTAATTGTGGAGTTTAACAGGTTCACTGTCTGTGGGTATTTTAGGTGAAGATGAAATAAGCCTAATTTATAGTCAGAGGTTTTGCAAGAAACGTGCGGGGGTCATACTTCGGAAAGCGGGAAGAGAGTTCAGTCGTCAGCGGACCGTGGAAACTAACGTACTCTAGTAGGAACGTAATTACCACGTCGTGCTACATCATGGAGAAAAGAGAGTGGGGCAGGAAATGTTTGCCCTTTTATAGGCTTCTACCACGCCACCTAACGGCATTTGAGGAAACCAAGTGGGGCAATCATATTTCCGGTTCTTTTTATTCGTAGCATCATTGGAAAATGTGTTTCTTTTTATTATTACTCATTATTATTATTATTTTTATCGTTTTTATTTATTCTTCCTACAGTATTTATTGTCAAAGTTTCCAATTAATTCTTTAATCGATCCGTTTGTTTCGCGTTTGGAACTAAGATTTTATGGTGGCTCGCCGTGATTTCAGGACTTCGCCACGAAAATTTAACCAGTTACGTAGGGCCTAAAATTTAATATAGCAAGTTACGGCACTTAATTTGTGCGCTGTGTAGCGAAATGATTTTAATAGGAAGAAAAGTAATTTGTTATAGAATATATCCGGGTAGTATAACGGATATCGGCTTAGAAACCGAATTGGCGAGGTGAGTTCAAAGTTCAGGTTGCCCTGTTGCGTTTACTTTCGCAAAAGCGCCCTTGGGAAAAACATTAATCTATCTCCTCTATGCCCCCAGTAAACCTATGGATAAAATATAACGGAAGATTGGGTTTTTATCCTTGGTTGGCAGCTAGTCTAAGAGAAGAAATCTATGAATTCCAAAGAGCGGAAAAGGCAACGGGAAATCACTCCACTATCTTTCCCATATTTATGTCAATTGATAGAATAAAGAAAAGCAATGTGTGGAGAGCCATGATCGCCTACATTCTGAAGGGACATGGTTTTCTGTTATATTGTTGGACTATTATTACATAAATACATTGGAAATGAAAGAGAAATTTGTAATTTATCAGAAATCAATTGAGTCTTTGCTGATAGAATTAGGTTTTTATATGAATAATTGAAATAGATTGAAAAACAGGAAGAAGTTGTCAGCAATCAGAAATTGATGGACATTTTACTGACGGATTATTCAATATTTTCGGAATGATTAATGACACTATCTTTTCTGTCACACCGCGAAGTCGCTCAACTTAGAATAAAAATATTTTAACAGCAAATCATAAATTTAATTTTATTATAAACAATCAAATAGAAAAGGAAATAAAAACAACTTACCTAAAGGTACATTGGGAATAGAGTCTATTTCAATGTATCGCGAGGCTGAAACACAGATTCCCGTAAAATCATCAAGGTTAAGAAACATCAAGCCTGGTTAGTACTTGTATGGGTGACCGCTTGGGAATACTAAGTGCTGTAAGTTTGTATGCGCGGGTGGTGTAATGGATAATGCCTCGGAATTATTAACCGGAGAGGAAAGTTTCGATTCCCGTTAGGTTCGTTATATTCATATACGTTCAAGTACCCTTTGGAAAGATATGAATCCGCCTTTTGTACCCCGGCTATGGGTTAATCGGTAGGACTTCTATCACTAAACCATTCTTACAATCAGGCTTTAAATAACCTACAAAGGGTTGATATCTGTCTATATTTCTGAGATGTGTTAAATGTACATTATTTACATTATTCGAACTATTGTCCTCATCTTTGTCGCCATATTTATTACAACGTTTCGGCCGTTGCTTTCTTCAGATGGTTGGAATGTCGAACCGAATCCTTTCTTTCGCTCACTGGGGTAGACTGTTCTAGTTCCACGTACCATCTTTAATGAATGTCAGTTATCTTCTGCTAATTTCCCTCTGAAAGTTCCCACTGCCTTAACCGGATATTGAACTCACACTCTTTGGGTCCTGTTACTGGATTTAACTAACGCCTTTATCCACTGTGCCATCTGTGTATAAATTTCTGAGTATTATAAAACTAATGTCTTCAACAACCGTTTTTTACCAGTGCTCATATTGCAATTTTTGTTGTTATTATCGCTTTTCTCTGGCACTCCTTATTACTGGTTCCCATATTTTATTCATTTCTATGCTTGGTCGGCTCAGGAGATTTTTGTGGCCTAGCATATATGCTGATTCCTTAAGTTTACGAATTTTCCAATGGTGTTCTTTGTCTATGATCTCAACCTGATCCCACAGAGGGCGGTGATCTCCCTTCTCTCTCCATATGTGATCAGCCACGCCTGATTTTTCCACGTGTTTTAGCTTTCTGGTGTTCTTGAAACCTTACCTTAAGGGGACTACCTATCTCCCCTTTATATTTCTTTCCGCAGCTGCACGGGATAGTGTACACACAGTCTTTAGTCATGTTTTCCTCTATGGGGGATGTTACACGGGAGAGATATCTGCGAAGTGTCGTCAAGCTTTTGAAGGTTGTCCTGATGTTATATGGACCGCAGATCCTTTGTATTTTCTCTGATAACCCCTTCACATAAGCAGGCAGACTGTTTTCTAAGTGTTGTTGTTCTCCTCTTTTACTCACCTATCCCAGTTTTTTGGGGCTGCTGCCATGTACCCAGAGTAGTTGTAGAGTACTACTTATACTAACCAATTCTTTATCTAATTTCTCTGGGTCGCCACTTATGACTGTTGCTCGGTGTTATAAGCAGCGGACGATCCCTTTCTTTACGCTGTATGGATGGTGGGAGTTGAAATTGAGGTACTGTCCGGTGAATGTCGGTTTACGGTATACGAATGTCTTGAACCCATCCTTTGTACGAGATATCAGAACATCCAGGAATGGGAGTGTGTTATTACTCTCTTTCTCCATTGTGAACTGTATCGAAGTTCTTATTGAGTTCACAAGGGTTGATAAGCCGTAAAAATGAATTAATCAATCAAGGCATCATAGATTCAGCCAGCAGTTTTTCCATTGTGTTTAGTCAATTTCAGTTAATGTTGACAAAAGTTTTAAGCTAAAAAAATGAAAGATATTCATAAAGAAGACTTTTTCAGTTTGGACGGGATCAGAAGAATCAGTGAAATATCGATGATTTTTGGGACATGAAGAATTTGACACTGACAAACAGTAAAACAATATTGAATTTTTATTAAGTAAGTATTTGTTATCTTAATCATTAAATTGTTTTTAAAATAGTGAAAATATTTTGTATGTTAAATAATAAAATTTGTAATTTTTCCAAAAAATGAATGAAAATTTATTGTCCTAAGCTACGCACCCGAATAAAACCTTCTGTAGTTTGTATCCACTTACCTCCTATTTGCACTTCTCCATAAAATCTGGTCACGATCGGTTAAAGGGTGTGACGGACTAACGGAAGTGACAGAATTTTATATATAGATTATTTCGTCTATTGGTCGATCCTTATTTAATTCAAATAACAGGAATCGAATTATTTGAGCTAAATTATAAAAATTCAAATAATATCCAGTTGTTTGGGTTGACGTTTTTCTAATTTAAATATTAATGCAATAAATATCAAATAATTTGAAATTAAGATAGGCTTCTGAAACGTTCTCGTACCAAACAACTAACAACACCTCACAAAAAAAAAATAATTCCTTGGAAATGGGACGCACGTTGAGAACACTTCATCAGTCCCATGTAATATTAAATAATTTTGACTTTTCACATTTTATTTCAAATTAATTTAATTAGTACTTATATTTATAATTAATTTCAGTATATTAATTCATATGCAGTAAATGGCTTTCGAAAAGAAACACACCTTTTTTTAGAAGAAACACTCCTTTCGAAGTATTTTCTTTCAAATTATTTTTATTTTTCTATGGAATAAGCACGCCAGATCACAGATATAATAAAAGGTGTTTAATTTGGCCTATAGAGTTATTTTAAATTACCCCCCACCCCTATGCAAGCAAACAAAAAATGCTCACTTGATAAAATATATCCTTACTTAAAAAACTGAAATAGTTTCAAGTGTAGCACTATGAAGAGGAAGGTTTATATTGGCGGATGGAACTTTTAACAGCAAAGATGAATTTTTGGAATTATATTCTGGATGATTCACAGAGAGTTTCATATGAAGAGATATTACAATGTTTGAAAAGTAAATGCGAATTCACCGCTAGAAAACGGAAAATACCGTGATTATCACAAAATGAAAACCAGTAGCGATACTAAAACCAGTTCATTCAAAGAAGTCCTTGCTTCGTGCCCGGTGAGAGATGAAATGTGTCGTCCATTACGAGCTGCTGGAACATGGAAGAACCATCATTGCTGCAGTTTATTGCCAGTAGTTTGATCGGGTAATCGAAACATTATATCAGTAAATAATAAAAGTGTTATTCTCCGTCCTGACAATGCAAGAATTCACTCTGCAGAACAAACCAAAGAAAAAAAAAAGATCGTTAGAATAGAGAGGTTTTTACCAATCATCCATACTTACCAGATTTTGCATCTGTAGATTTCCATTTGTTAAAATAAAAATATTTCATAGGTCACAGAAAATAAAGAAACAAGGAAAAAGTTGAAAGGAAGTTCCATGTAGCAATGAATATTGAATAATGGCTTTCAAATTCCAAATCGTTATGACAATAAACTACATCCGGTAGCAATGCATCTGATCGGGTGATTGGAGGTTTGAGGAACCACCCCTTAACTTCTGTTGTTCTCAGGTTTACCCTCACCCGGGGTGGTAGTATCTTTTAGAGTCCTAACTATAACAAATAGTAAACCCACAATGAAAAACAAAACACTTTGAAAGTATAAAAATAAATTTTTATAGTAAAAATACCAGTAATACATTTTATAAAAAAAATGCCCAACAATATATATTTATAGCAAAATGACCAACAATATATTTTATAGCAAAATGACCAACAATACATAATATTTGTTGTTGAAGGCATAAAATTGCGTTCAAAACATTTACATTTCAGCATTAAATAAAACATAGAGGTTGACTTTGCCGATAAACAAACAACCAGCCAACAAACGTCTTTTGGCGGGTAATCAGTTTTTAGAGCAAAGGAAGTGACTCTTCCAATATAAGTGCCCCCCCACACACACACACGCTTCCCGAAATACCTACAACTTTCCTCCAACATTCGAAATAGCGTACAATGAAGGAGGTTAAGAGAGTAGCGTAGATGTAGTCACTGTAAAAATAATTGTCACTGGATGGGATTCTAAAGAACTGAAAATAATTGTGGAGCAGCAAGATGACAGTCATGCTTATCATTAGTGGAGAACTTGGAACAGTCCCCAAAAATTTTGTCAGAAATGAAAACTTATGGTAGAATCGAAATCGCCCAAAATGGCATCATAATTAAAAATCAGTAAGAATTGTGATGAGAACATTGGGATATCAATAGACTTGCTGTCACTTGATCCCCAGTGAAAGTCGCAACACCTACTGTTAGGAAAACAGTCATGAAAATCGAGGTGTCCACTGTTTGAGTAGATGGGACTCGTAAATCCAGCCTTAATTTTTAATTTGTGGACGTCATAAAATATCGGGTGATGCTGAGACGTGACATTTTGTTAGAAAAAGTTTGCTTTTAATTCAAATGATCACTTGCCTTTGCGCTGTCCACTCCCCCCCCCTCTTGCCGCTTACCAAAGCGTGACGACTTTGTACGCGTATCACCACCGGCCAGTTAATGTCAAGAAAAACATGATAAAGTGTTGCGGCGTCAAAAGACAGCGTTCATGACACCCACTGCCATCATTAAGACATTAATTCTACCGGATGTGAAAGAAATGTAATTAAATTCGAAAAAAAGAACCCAGTCCGAAACAAGATCAGTTATTCTATATAGGGAATTCCCACTCTTCTAGTATCCCGAAAGTTCTAAAGAATATATACCAAGTTGAAGGAGAATTATACTTAAAATCAGAAATAGAGAGTTAACATTTATGAGACACATTATGAAGAAAAAAGGTTTGGAAAATGTAACACTCACAAGGCGTACTGAAAAACAAAGACATACATTGAGTAACCTACCTAATGTGTGAATGAATGGAAGAGTGGGTAAAAGAAAGGATAGTAAAGAGTTAAAAGTTGCTTAGCACTATAAGGGAAAGGAAGTTATGGTGAGCTGTGATCGCCCATGTTCTGAAGCCACAAGACACATAAAAAAGAAGTATATTATGCATATGGTTTTATTATTGTGACTTAAAAAATGCTTACTCATTATTTACCTCAGATATCAGGGGTGTACTATTAGCATTTATATCTCTTTTTGTTTAGGTCATGGTGCTGACTGAGATTCGAATCCGGAAAACCAGGTTATTGTTTGTTTTGGAATTACTCACTCAAAAGAGCAAAAAGAGAGTCTAGTGATAATATAAGAAGAGAGATCCGCACTAGGTGGACAATACTTTAGCTTTCTGCCAGACTAAGCCGAGCTTTATCGTTTGGGAAAATTGAAC